CTCACGATACCCACGTAGAACTAGTAAGGCTGTTTTACCGTGCTATTTCGCAAAATTACCTTCGTCGCATTGGGAAAACCTCGTCCTGCCATAAAGGTGGCGATAAAAATTGTATTTTGATAGTTCGGTAAGCAGAACTGCATCTCAGCATCTCCGGAACTCAACCTGGTTTTTTCGCGGAAAGCTTCCAAAGCCTGTTTCTCAATTAGACAACCAATGAAGTAAGAATACTTCGACTTTGAAAACTACATTAAAACTTCTATGATAAATTTGGAGCACTTGTGTTTTGCAGCTGACAAACTTTACGGAATTCCCGTTATGTCCGGCTGGAATGCCTCGACTCCCACGTTTTCCAATTTTAAATTTTTTTAACTTCTGAAGTTCTGCATATTTATGCTTTCTATCGTATAGACACTATGGCTTGTAAACAACATTAGTGCAACAGGAATGAAAAAATTTATTGGATTTCTTCCCTACTGTACATACAACAAACAGAAATAAATGTGAGATTTTCGAACGCAAATCCAGGATCAAGAGGAATGCTCGGTATTCGGAGTGTTCGCAAGTTTGGCGTCCATATCTCTTTTTTCCTTCTGCATCTGGTACTTCGCCAGGCCTCGGAACCAAATTTTGTGTTCTTTCTGATAAATCGATATAGTTCGATCCTGTTCCCGTTCTTTCCTCAGCTCTGTTTCACATTCCTGCTTTAACGATTCGTACACTTCGTTTACTGTCCGATTGGAATATGCTGATGCCCCATATACTATTGTTGCCAGTGTAAGCCTGGAAATAAAGAATACATTAAGCACTATCTTCAGCAGAACCCCGGAACTTTGCGGGGTTCTGGTGATTTGCACAGTATTCTCGGAAGATCGGCTGCTGAGCATCATGCTCTGGTGCTTGTAAAAATGCCTCTGATCCAGGAGCACGGCAAATCTAAGTTACGACAAATGCACCCGCAAATGATTACTACTCCAACAACATTTTTATCATCTCACATTCGTTAATTACAAAGCAACGATTGAAGATTAGGCGCTAAAACTGTTTTTCGCGCGAAATCAAATTAGCGAAAATAATGTCGAAAAAAGTGATCAAAAATCAATCTTTGACTTGCCATATAACCACGGTCTGCCAAAATGGCCATGATTTGTAAGTTGAAAAAAATTTGGTCGAAAAAGGCGTGAAAAAAAGGACAACTTCTGTATGGACTAAGCTCTTTATGATTTGGCACAAGTTCGCATGCGCTGGAATAAAGCAGTAGTCAACAGACATTTGTACATCATAGATGAAATAATTCTCAGTGCGTACAAAATCCACAGAATCAGTGGAGGAATTCTACGCCATCAAACAAGGGAGTGAGGAACAAAATTACTGTATTTCTGTGAACGGAAAATTACCCGCATGTTAATCCAAGACTTGCCGCTTGTGCCACTCCAAACAATCCAAACGGTAAAGCGATAAAAGAAGGCACTGCCGCTGAAAAAAAAGAAAAATTCTTTTCGAAAAAAAAAAAAAAACCTCGACTCATAAATAAATCCGGAAAACGTGGGAAGTACTCACTTGTTACAAGTGGCAAAGTCCACAGTGAAAAATGACCACGCCAAGCTGCTGTATGAGTGATCGCTGCTCTACAAATAACAAAAATTTGCCGAGTTTTTGAGTGAGATAAGAAAAATACGCAGAATATGTGCATGTTATAAGTGACCAGTATCCGAACACATGGCTTGGCACATTGCGTAGCATCTTGTGCTCCGAACAGAGGACTGCGAATTTCGTGAAATTGCACAAAAAACTCCCTTATGGGGAAGATTTTTCCGGTAAGTCCCCTTTTTTGAGTTTCGTTACTTTAAGACGAAAAAAAAGGAGTACACAACGAACGTACACCACGCATCCGACGTATATTGCGGCCAGGCTTCCATTGATTGCTCCGGTGCGTAGGAATGACGCGAATGCATAGTCCCATCGACGTCTCTTAAAGCTACACAAAATTCGGCACAATCCATTTACAACTGAATTACTCGGCTACTATTTCTTAAAACATATTCGGGGAGGGAGGCAAATTTTTCCTCACGACGCGATTGGTTCCAACGTCACACTGACGTGAGCGAGTGATGTCAGCAGTTTCAGTGAGGCAATCAAAAAACCAGTTTTTAAAAAGAAATATCAATCAAAGCTCGGCTTGCGCTATGCAAATAGTGGAACCTGGGTCTAGTTTTTGCTCATACCGAGCCCTGAACAGTGAAAGCCAGGGGTACCATAAAAACCCATCCGACCGGGGAAAAAAAAGGGTAGAGGAGCGAGGGAAGAGAGGAGGAAAAGCTAAAATTACACTACTCAAACTTTTGCACACTTACCAGTGCATCGCGGGGACTCAAAAATACTCGGCCTTTTGCATAGCGACTATATCTCTCGGCAGCTTTCAGCGAGCTCAGCGGGGCCCTGAGCAGTACCGCACCGATGAAGGCCCACTGCATGCACGTCTTCGTTATGCCGGTCTCGAAGTGCACATCTGAAAGCGAAATTTGCTACCGCTGTTGCCCAGCTCACTCACAGTGTGCACCCTGTAACAGGACAACACCAACCTCCGTCACTGTACAGCGTCTTGAGTCGATGCCAGCCATTCGTGGATCCCCGCTTGCTGACCACAGCCACATCCGGAGCAGCAGCAGCGTCCCCCTCTGCACCTGAAAAACATCACTCACTGTGACCAATGATACATTTGCTCCGGAACAAAAACAAATTACCTTTCCCTTGGGAGAGAAACCACAGCCGGCGCAGCGGATCAACCAGCAATCTGTGCAACGAAGATGGTCCACCCTCATCCGGTACCATCACCCCTCACCGCACTCGTCCATCACGCATCCCTCGCAACAAAACAGGCCGAAACTCTGGTAGGATTGACGAGAAAGCACAGCGCTATAGAGATCACATAGAAAAAGGTCTAACACGAAATAGAGCGAGGAAAAGAGAGAGAGCAAGGACTGGTCATTGGAATGTCCAATACACCACTTACTGGTCACAAGAACCCAAAGTCAGCCAGGCGGGAAGTGCTAGGCCACGTCGATCATAGGTGGGGAGTAGGTCTTTCGCTCCCCCCCTCCCCACTGGATAGGCAAAAATCCGAGTCCGGAGATAAAACTGAAGTGGACTAAAGCCTAAACCAACTCTAAACTACAGTAACTCTAAGTAGCAGTGTGGTACAACTCTATTCCTAGTTTTTGCATAGTTCCACTGTGTGGGAGGGGACTCTCACCCCCACCCCAATCCCCCATCGCTCGCCCTCCCCCACTCTTCGTCCTGGATCCGCCTATGACGTTAACAAGCAAATAAAAGTTCCACTAAACGCTGAATTTATCACATGGATGCTAAACAATGGAGTATTTAAGAGAAGTGGGAATGTGACTCAAAAGAGGCGGAAGCACGTTTTCGCGCAACGGACGTCCGTAATTGGGATATGCGCAATGTTCAGCGCAGACATTTCTATAGAAGGCATAAATTATGCTATTGTTGAGGGGAACGAGTTTTGGTGGGATGTGTAGCTAGTTAAACAATATCTTATGAAAAACACTGAGTGCGCTGAGAAGCTTCTGAAAACCGGTAATGGCTATTTATTGTTTCTGCGCTCAACAACATACTAATTTTTCAGTTTACGAAAGAGTACCATGCATTTTGCTGCAGCAAAAAACACGCCCGTTCTTGCCTGTTCTTGTAAGTTTAACAAATTGTGTGGGTTTTTAAAAATATCGTCTTATACTCTAAAAAAAGCATCGACTGTAAAAGCGACACTTTCCAGTTTCATAAAAGCGACACTTGTTACCCAGTTCCACTGTGTTACCGGTTCTGCTGTACAGAGTGAAAAATGAAGTACCACGCTTGCTGAGGAGAGATGAAAAATTAGTGGTGGGCCGGTGAGTCCTGCAACACCGCTAGAAATGAATTTGGTTGCAGGCTTTTTTGACCAGGACTGATCGCAAAATTAGCGTGCTAAGATCGGAATCTCAGTCTTAACTTATTAAGCTATAAAATTAGCCTATGTTTGGATCTGATGTCAACAAATGCGAACATGTAGATTTCATGTCTCTGACCGTATGCATGGTCAAGCAGTTCGCTTTCAAAACTTTACCTCCA